AGAGAGAGAGAGAGAGAGAGAGAGAGAGAGAGAGAGAGAGAGAGAGAGAGAGAGAGAGAGAGAGAGAGCAGCACATTACCCTGTCTGACGACTGGAATTGTGTAACGAAATACCCACACAGCCGATCAGCCAAGAAATCACAACAACTGAAAAACTGACAACTCCAGTTGTTACCCCCACTTACCCTAAACCAAGTAATGGAGACAAAAGGGGAAAAAAAAAAGAAAAAAAAAAAAACTGACCTGCATACACACATTCACCTCTACAAATCAATCTCGTGATGATATGCACGAAGCCGTCACTGTACATAACTCGTTCTTTGCCGCAAACATCACATAAAAAGACGACAGCTTGGGAAACGGGTCGGGGCAACCCAAGGTCACACCACCTGAGGGTTCGCCCCCCTCTTTCCCCCCCCCCCCCCCTCCCCCCACATCGTCTTCGAGATCTCATTGCAGTCCACGCCTGCATTGGCAAGAACGTTGCGCATCACACACACAGCAGCGAACAAACAATTGCCGCATGTCGTGCATCTCATCTTGTGCATGCAACGTGCATTTCATCTTGTGCATGCAACGTGCATTTCATCTTGTGCATGCGAAGGAGACAGCACCAAATGCACTGCCAAGCTTCAGAATGCCCTCTCCACAACCGTGCGCACGACCCTCTGTTTTCCATCAACGCCCTGGTGGTAAAGCGCTTGTGTGCAGCACTACCGTCTTCCCGCAAACATAACGCACGCCAAATGAACGCATGCAAGGCATGTTTCCGGCCCGATACAGTCAAAATGAGGGTGCGTTGTGTTCGGGGGAAGAGGGTAGGGAGAGGAGCCCCGGGGCTTCCACCTCGGCCATGGTGGAGAGCAGCTGGTAGGAGGAGCAAGAAGGGGACTGGGAAGGAGGGCAGCCAGAGGTACTGAGCTGGCTATGGTGGGCGCCATCTTCATCTCCATGGTAAGTGCTGCATCTTGAAGGCCTCAGAAGGGGTTGCATGCATCAAGAAGGCTTCAGGGAAGATTCAGGCATGGCAGCCTGAGGTGTAGAGGACATAGCTGATTTTGCATTGTCTTTTGAACATCGGGGCAGGGCCCCTCGTAGTCCGCCATAGCCCTCACCTGTCTGACGTGGATGGAGATGGACAGAGATGGAGGGAGATGGAGGGAGGAGGGAGATGGAGGGAGATGGAGGGAGATGGAGGTCATGGCTATGGTGGACCTCATACTGTGCTGGCAGTAAGAGAGGGATTCGGACAGTGGTTCTGGTTCAGCCACTTCATTGTTATTATTATTATTATTATTATTATTTAGGGAAAATTGCATCTTTACCCCACTTTAAGATGTTAATACCCGCTATACCCAGTGCCAGCGTCTAACTTGAGTCTCTGCCCGGACCCCGGTCAACTTTGCATACCCAGTCCTGCAGGCCATCGGTTGAAATTTTGCCAGTCCTGCAGGCCCTCGGTTGAAATTTTGCCAGTCCTGCAGGCCCTCGGTTGAAATTATGCTAATGCCCATGAACGGGCTGTCAAAATTGTGGGGTGTACCCACTGCCAGGGGCAGGCCGTGGATGGCGGACCACAAAATTATGCGCATACCCACCACATGGACTGTTGTGGCCCAACGGCTCGTGGGTACAAGCATAATTTCAGCCATCCAGTCGCAGGGTATATGAGTAATTTGGCCCGTCCACCTCAGTCCCAGATATGCCCATAACTTTGCCTGGGTATGTCCATAATTTGTGCATTCCGGTAGTTATTCAAAACCCAGGCTACTTTAAGGTTTACCAACCTTGGCCCACACCTCGGTCCTGGGCATGGAAATAATTTCCACGGGCCGTTTTCTGGGTATATGTGCAACTTGGAGCTGGTATAGCGGGTACTGCCATCTTTAAGTAGCAGGGTACAGATGCAATTTTCCCTATTACTCATCTTTAAGTAGTAGGGTACAGATGCAATTTTCCCTATTACTTATTGTTCAACAAGAGAATGGGAGATAAGGGGGCGGATATTGGTTGCCGCGAGCGAAGGGGTATCATCGCCTCTCAAGTTAATTTTGTCATTTCATTTGCAGGTGTATATCTTCTTTCTCTTCCTTTCTCTTTCTCCTCTCAAGTTCTTTCATTACTTTGGCACTTGGACGACATTGTCTCGCTTTGCGTATTTTTTGCAGTTCTGAATTGGCCACGCTCGTCGTAACATCAGATACGAGTTTTTTTTTTTTTTTTTTTTTTTTTAATCTAGGTTCCCTTTATTGCAAACAAGAATAGTTCAGACTGTTCTTTGCCGAAGCCAGGTAATGGCCCTGGTATTTCAAAGATTATTTTTACTTGTATAATTCTATATGGGGCGCTGGGCCCAGTTCCCAGCACGTGCTGCTCCCCATGATTAGACTGCAAATTTTGTTCCCAAAAAAAAAAAAACCATATACGAGACCCTTAGTTACATGCAAATGGACTTCCAAAACAAATCGGGCAGAGCACCCCCCCAATCGGCACTGACAATGCAGACAGGCCCATATAACCAGACAAGGCACTGACAACGCAGAAGACAGAGCCCATATAACCACACAACTTGCTTGCTTACCTCGGGATTATATTGTGAGTGCAATGATCAGAGACAATTGTCTTGAGAGGTTAAAGTAGAATTACTGCGCTAGCAATGACTAAAGATAATGCTCAAGGCTGCACAATTGATCACATAATTTTTAAGACCATGATTGATTGATAACTTGTCGATCCATGGACTCGCACGCACACAACTCCGTCTACTCTGGAGAATCAATTTGATTGATGATTTAGATGACAATACACCCAACAAGTGAATCTTTCCAAAAAAGGACTCGTACTCATTACGGGTCATTCCTTGAAGCGAATCTTTCCTAAAAAAGCCACACAGAGGTGATACAACGAAGAGACTTTGAAGAGACTTCAGAAACCACGTACTCTTAACTGGGCTTGAGACTTCTTTCGTCCTTGCCCTCGGGGTAAGCCTGCAAAAAACGCCCAACAGCACACAACACTCGATCAGCAAAACTCTGCCAAAGGCAGATCAACACACACCACCCAGTCCGCGAAAGCCAGCAATAGTTCAGTTTCACTAACACCCAATCACTAATTTCAAAAAAAAAATAAAAAAAAATCATGATTTCAGCTTTACTACGACTGCCCAGATGGCTGTCCTAGATCCTCATGATCATGTCTTCCCAACGACAAGCTCGACAAAAGAGGAAAACGAGAGGGACCGAGGCCTCGAAAGTTGCACTGGAAAAGACAACAAAGATAAGGACGACGAAGGTTTATTGTAGTAGCACCTGGTATGGCAAAGAGGAGAACAATCATTCTCTAACATCTATCTTATTGTGGAAAAGAACAAGACATACCAGGTGCAAGAAGATTGATCTTTTCCACAACAAGACATACCAGGTGCTAGAAGATTGATCTGAAAGGCAGGTGCTAGAAGATTGATCTTTTCCACAAAGAGATCATGCCTTTCAGATCAATCTTCTACTAGATCATGCCTTTCAGATCAATCTTCAGAAAGACCCCAACATGAGGTGCCAACCACAAGCCTCTCAATCCAGTCAGCCCACCACACCCATCATGCCATGCCTTTTTGTCCCACACAAATGATATAACTCACCTAGCTCGAGACGATCTCCTGCCTTCCAGTCGAGAAGAGGAGCATGGTCCGTCGAACTTGGACAACCCACAAAAGGACGACTCTGAAGCGGACATGGACTTCGACGAGACCCCCATCAAAGAGTCAGAGAACAAAAAGTCACAATGACCAGCCTGAAGACAAACAAACAGGACAGGACAAAAACAACAACAACAACAACAGGAGGCCAGGCCGAGCAACCAGCCATCTCGCATTCAGAAGCTGTTGCTAAAGGAGGTCACAATGCGCCTCGTCAAAATAAAAAATCCTTAAAAAACTTGAAAAATAATCATTAAAAAACTTAAAAAATCAACAATTATTAAAAAACCTGAAAAAGGATCGTCACACCACAGCCTAGCATGAGAGTTGAGGTTTGTTTGCAGCCATATGCTATGGTAGAGGAGAGAGAACGAGAGAGGGTGGGTTTCTGCTCTTACCTGCTGGCGCTTTAAATAATTGTTACAAAACAATATGTCTAATCAACAATATGTTTAATCAACATTGATTTTTTTTTTTTGTGTAAAACTACAAAAGAAGAAAATAAGAAAAAATATGACTTATCCTTTTTATTCTTTTTTTGAATCTAATTCTATTTGTAGATCTAATTTAATGTTATAATATAATATTTAAATAATGTGAGTTCAGGTTTGATTGCAACCATATGCTATGGTAGAGGAGAGAGAACGAGAGAGGGGGGTTCTGCTCGAGGAGAGAGAACGAGAGGGTGGGTTTCTGCTCTTACCTGGTGGCGCTTTAGTTATGAAGGCCAGGCCAGCATAGCTTAGGTCTGACCGGTGGGGTTTCTGTTTTTTTTGTCTTTTTTCAAGGAAAAAAACCTTGTGACCGATGTTGTTATTGCACCTGTTTGACATGGGGAGCTTCGGACGGAGAGTGCCTCATTGACATGGGGTGCTTCTGAGCGTGCGATGTAGGGCTTCATCATCACTCTTTCACTCAAAAAGAAGGGTTAGCTATTGTGGAGGTGGTGCAAAGAGAAGAGAAAGGGTGTCACACCTGAACCGGAGGAGGGAGGCGGGAACGGCAGGCACTGTATCAATTGAATATTACTTTAATTACAAAAATTATCCTCCTCTCCTATGTCTTCTATTCCTTCCTCTGGTCTACTAGCTACTACCGTCTTCACCCGAATAGAAAGCCCGGTCATTATAGCTGCATTTGGCACAACTTTCAGTCCAGATGCAGCGATAATTACCGGGCGGTCTATTCGGGTAAAGACGGTAGCTATCTCTTGGTGATGGGCATTCATGGGGCATCGCAAGTTACATGCATGGTGTGGATGTTGTGATGATGTCGTGTGAGCTTCTCGGGGTTCGGATCCATTGCACCTGGACCCCCACAAAATATTTGTCACGGAGAGAAGGAGAGGAAGGAGAGGAAGGAGCGGGGAGCGAGAGAGAGAGAGAGAGAGAGAGAGAGAGAG